TCGGAGCCTTTTCCATTTGCCCACCTACAGCTCTCCCAGTTAATCAAAAACTGGGCATGTATAACATGAACCAAACTTCTTAAGGCAAAAAAAAAAAACACTGGCGGGAGCCATGCCAGCTTATTAAAGAGTGGTTGTCTTGTAAGGTGGGTTCACTACTTTTCCTGCTTTCCTGTACTTTAAGTACTTTTGTGTACTTAACCTCTCTGTGCTGCACTTTTTCCATCTGTACCTGGTTATGAAAATCAAAGCACTTAAAAACAGGACCTGGCATATAAGTAGTCGGTGAATGCCGGCTATTATTTCTTTCGAAATATTCTACGAAGAACATGTATTCCTTGTATGACGAAAAATGGTTTTTAAAATGTTTTATTGCTCTTAACAAACCTCTCTTTAATGGAAAAAAATTTACTTTTTGTTTATCAGTGTCCTCACCCTTCCCCCAAATCCACAGTCCCAATCTGAAGTAACAAGTTAAAAACTATAGTAATTTGCGGAAGGTACTTTTCTTTTACGAAAAACTATGCGAGTCACATCTCAAAAACTTTCCGAAGAGCTACATCGCCCCGCTTTAGCGCAGACAGAAGAAACAATTTTTGGAGAAGGCCTCGGGCGTTCCCGGAGGCGAGCCCTTGTTCCGCTCTTGGGGAAAGGTGGCTAGCTCCCGCCATTAGGACGCGCGAGGGAAAATGGAGGCTCCCGGCCCGCCCCGCGGCGGCGGCAGCCACGAGCACGGCGCCTGCGCCCTGCGCGCCCACCCCGGCCCGCGAGGCCCTTACTGCTGTTGAGGGCGGGCGAGGGGAGGGGCAGGAGCGCCGCACCACGCTCCACCCCGCGCCCGAGCGCGCGGTTCCGGCGAGTCCGGCCCCGGCCTTGCGGTCCGCTCCAGGCCGCTCCGGCCCGCCAGCCGCTCCGTAGGCGCTATCGCGCTCCGTGCTTTCCCTCCGGCCCTTTGTGTCCTGGCGCGCGTCGGAGGAAACGCGGGAACGCGCGCCGCGCTGTGCGCCTGCGCCGGAGGGCGGATGGCGCGCCCTGCCGAGAGTCGGGAATGGGTACCGCTCCCGGACGCCCCGCCCTCTCCCCGCCCCCTAGCCGCCATTTCGTGCTCCGGCGCGCGCGGACACCGCGTGATGGATGCCCGGAAACCAGGACAACAAAGGCCCGAGCGCCAGGGCTACGCGGGCTGCAGGTCCTTCCGCTGCCCGCCGGGCGAAGATGGCGCTCGGAGACTGCAGCTGTGCCCGAGCAGGGGGGGAAATGGATGCTTCTACCTCTTTCGGTTGGCGTCAGGGCCACGCACGGCCTCGTGTGTGCACCATCGGTAGTGTGCACCTTTCCGTGTTTGCTCAACCTCTGGAGCTTGCACAGCCGTAGTATGCCCGAACTCGTGTTTGCACCCTCTGGCATGCACGAACCCGTGGGTTTCCACGCATTATTGTGTGTACGACCTCGAGAATGTGCTCGCACCTGAGTAGGCGCTCGCACCTGAGTATGCGCACTCTTGCATTTGAACTGCCTGCCTGCTTACACAGGTCCGGGTGTGCACGGACTCGTGTTTGCACCAACCCGGTATGTGTATAGATGCGTGGACTCTTGAATCTGTGTATTCACCAACCTGTTTGCATGGCCCAGGATGTTTTCAGACCCAGGAGTGCAATCCCAGCCTCCCGCGATCTGGGGCACCCGGGAAAACTATCCCGTTTATGGCCTGTTTTAGATTCTTTTCTCTTTTGCTGAGTTTATACGCAACACATAACCACCTGTCCGCTACCCTATGCTGTTCTTAACCTTTTCTCTGTTGTTTCCACCCCGTTTATCGGGCTCCTGCTGTGGACCTGACTTTGCACTGGGGGCATGTGGTGACAATGATGCAGGGCTAGTGAGGGAAACAGAAATGGGCAGTTAAGGACATCATGCTGCAGCTTTGAAGGAGGCGCCTGGTCCAAAAAGGTCAAGAAAAGCTTCCTGGAGGAAGCCATGAACCAAGGCCAGCCTAGCCGGTCAGGCCTTAGCTGAAGAGGGTATCAGGGGTCAAGCCCCAAGTTCGGGCTCAGGACTGAAAACTTTATTCTAGGAGGCATTTCGACCAGAGATACCATCAAATTCGCACTTGAGAGAGCACAGGGGGTTGAAGTAAAGTGGGTAGGTGATGGAGAGGAGAGTGTGTGGGAAAAGGAGGCCTCTTTGTGGAGCCCAGGAGGCGAAAGACCTGGGGACCCAGCTCAGCAGGGAAGTGGCCTCCCCAGGGAGGAGATGGGAAGGGAAAGCAGGATGGGGAACTGTGGTCTCTGGTTTACACCTCCTGCTGCTTCTGTGTTGCACACACTCTTCTCCCCAGGGGAGGGGCACAGACTCAAGCCCCAGCACTGCCCTTTACCAGCTCGGCCCCTGCTCAAGCATCTTTGTCAGTGGGGATGGAGGGAGATACTGCTTGCAAGAGGACAGTGCAGGCACAGAGGAAGTGTTCAGTGAACATGGGATGCTAGCACTTGAACTGGACCGACTTTGCAAGTCCCCTTGTCTGGTTCTCCTTTCCCTTCCATCACAGAACCACCTCATTTGTGTATCTTTCCTATGGTTAGGGATATTCTCCTGTTGTGCTCAGTATTCCTAGGTACATTTTTAATATATTTATTTATTTATTTGTTTTTATTTTTGGCAGTGTTGGGTCTTCGTTGCTGTGCGCGGGCTTTCTCTAGTTGCAGCAAGCAGTGCGTGGGCTTCTCGTTGTCGTGGCTTCTCTTGTTGCAGAGCACGGGCTCTAGAGCACGGGCTCAGTGGTTGTGGTGCAGGGGCTCAGTAGTTGCTCCGCGGCACGTGGGATCTTCCCGGGCCAGGGATCGAACGGGTGTCCCCTGCACTGGCAGGTGGATTCCCAACCACTGCGCCACCAGGGAAGCCCCCTAGGTACATTTTAAGGGTATAAAAGTCCATCTCTTCTAACATTCCCATTGAGAATCCCGCTAAAACATGGAGCGCCCACACACAAACCCACCCCCCACTCCCCCATTGAATGTCTCATGACGGAGAAAGGGCCACTTCACAGGATAGTCTTTTTAGTGAGACCCAGATCTTTGCAATCTGAAATGGCTTTTATTCCCCATCACCCAAAAGGTACTTTCTGAGCACATGCTGTGTGTTAGGGCTAGGAATATAGCAACCAAACAGTTCCTCCCTCCAGGCGCTTATAGACCCAAATTGCAGGATACCGGGCTCCGAGAGCAGACAGATAGCTCCTTTTTTTTTTTTTTTTTAATATAAATTTATTTATTTTTGGCTGCATTGGGTCTTGGTTGCTGTGTGCGGGCTTTTTCTAGTTGCAAAGAGCAGGGGCTACCCTTCGCTGCACAGCACGGGCTTCTCATTGCAGTGGCTTCTCTTGTTGTGAAGCACGGGCTCCAAGCATGTGGGCCTCAGCAGTTGTGGCATGCAGGCTCAGTAGTTGTGGCTCACGGGCTCAGTAGTTGTGGCCCACGGGCTCTAGAGTGCAGACTCAGTAGTTGTGGCACACGGGCTTAGTTGCTCCGTGGCATGTGGGATCTTCCCAGACCAGGGCTTGAACCCATGTCCCCTGCATCATACTTGATATGTTCATGCTGGAAGTCCATGCAGTGTGTACTACAGCACACTGGGCTGCCCGATGCACCTTGAATTAAAACTGTAGGGGGCTGTGCGGGTGGGGATTGGATGGGCACACGCACCCCGCCCACCCCACCCCCCCACACACACACACATACACACACACAAGGGGAGTGACCTTGTCAAGCACAGCCTCCCTCTCCCCCACCCTGTTCAGGGCATGGTCCATAGTCCATGCTACTAGGGGTCAGGGGAGCTGACGCATGCTCGGAAGCACCAAACACTTTATGCAGAAAAAACCGGCAGGGGCCCTCCTCAGACGGGGACTGTGGGCACGGAGAACACCCCCGGCTGTCCTGACGGGTGGGATGGGCTGCCTCTGCGGAGCGCTCTCAGCAGCCACTTCTGGGCAGCCCCGCTTGCCTGGGAGCTGGGGCCTGCGGATCAGCAGCCATTTGTTGTTCCTGTGTCACTCAGGCTTGGGGCAAGTTCTGCCACCATTTTAATCTACCAGCAGGGCCACAGGCTGGAGCTTCCAAGCCCGAGATCTGATCTCAGTAAACTCTGTGTAACCTGGAAGTAGGTAAGGTAGCCCCACCTCTTCTGCTGAACGGGCAAGCTGTACTGGATCACTGCTCTACATTTCACTCTTCCCAAAGGCCCAAGGATCTGGGTGATGTCACCCTCCCTCAATGGCCCTTTCCTGGAGCATGGGCTCCAGAAGTGGTCTCCCAGCCCCCCTGCCCCTGACCAGGGGCCAGAGCTGCCCCCTCAGAATTCTGTGATGGGCATTGAGTCTGTGCCCAAGAAACACCTGGTGAGGAATTTCTCTAGTTTTCCAAGACTAAACCACAAGGACCTAGAAGGTTCCACCCTTGGGCAGCTTCTTTCCTCCAAAGGGTCACATCTGAGAGAGGAGGGATCCCTCGGAAAAATGAGACTGTTTGCAGAATGAATGCCACCTTGTGTCTGCCAACTTCCTGCAGAGGCTTGTGGGCTTGTTCTGTGTAAATAACTTAATGGAAAACTCCAGAAGGGGACGCAGCCCATATGAGCCTGACCTTGCCAGCCAGCAGACAGGTTATAAAATGTTTCCTCTCTAAGCTGTGGCTGGGAGTCAGGATGCCTCAGTCACAACCCACAGAAATAAAACAGAACTCTGGGCTCTTGGGGAGGGACAGCTTGCGGGGGGGTTGTGTGGATTTCTTCAGGGAGACCATCGGTCCTCGCTGCCCGCGGCGGGTCTGGGTGGAGACTCCAGGGTGTGGCGCCTCTCAGATTGCAAAGCCAGGTCCTGGTGGTCCCAGTGGTGTCCGGCCCTCTCCCCGCCCCCAACCAAGGCAGCCTCGGGCTCTAGGCAGTTGGCTGGGGGTAGGGGGCGGAGGCTAAGGCTTCCGGCGGCTCTCTTCCCAGCCGGGCGTGGTGTCCCCTTCGGGCAGCCAGGCACGGAGACCGCCGATCACGGCCCCTGCCCGCCCACTTCCCCGCCCTCCGCCGAGGCCAGTCGGGGGCTGGGCGGGTCCCCCCGCCCCCCTCAGGGCGGTTCTTCCGGGAGTTAGACCGCCCCAGCCCGGCCCGTCCGGGAGGCAGGCGGGCGGCCGGCCGGGGCGGGGCGGAAGGAGAGGGCGACCCGAGCCACTGCCCAGAGGCCGCGCCGCCCAGGCACAAACATTGCCTTATGTGGTGGCTCCGAGGGCCAGGGCGGCGCCCGGGGGGCTGCCGAGGACGGCCGGACACGCCCCGGGTGATCGCAGCTCTCGGGATCTCGGCCTCGTCCGGTGGACTAGACAGAGAGGAAAGGCCCCCTGCCCTGTTCTTTTTTCCGCTGGAGCACGTCCCACGTTCCCCTAGGAGGAAGTGGTCACTGCTACTCGGCCGGACCCTCTCTCTCCCCAGCTTCCCCTGCGTTTGTGGGAAAGTGTCCCTGAGGGCTGAGGTTCAGGCAGAGACCTCGGGCCTGGGCGCTGGTGGTGTGGACTGCCTGCCCCCCTGGAGCAGGGACCACCTTGGCGCCTCCCAGGTCCGTCCGCACAATGCCCACGATGCAGCACCCTCCGTTGCCTTGGGAGCTGTATTTGGCCATGGGGGGATAACAGGGTGACTCATGGGAGGGACGGCCCGGGGGTGGGAAGTAGATGAGCTGCGTCCCTGGAAACGCCGTTGGTTTCTGTTCCTCGTTTCTGTTCCAGGTGGGCTTCAGGCTCTCGCCCTCCAGGAGGGCTTGGCACCAAAACATGGAGAAGGAGCTGCCTTCCCACTGCAAGGGCAGGACTCCAGGGTCCCCGCACTGGGGGCACAGGGACAGTGACCTGTGCAAGCACCCCAGCTTCCCAGAGCCTGATGAGTGCACCCTTGTCTCTGACACCTCCCAGGCCAGGTTCTGGGACATCTGCTCTGACTCCCTGAATGATCCTGGATTCTGGGGCCAGTATCTCACTTCTCCGGTACTGCAGCCTTTGATATCTGACAAGGCAAGTTCCCTATGGGATATTTTTCAAATGGGGCTTTTAGTGGGACGTTCACTTCAGTGAATCTCTAATAGGCCTAATTTCAGGGAGTGTAATTTTTTTTTTTTTTTCAGGGAGTGTAATTTGAGGCTGCATTTGAGAGAGAATCCTCATCCAGCCAGGGAGGCATTTGCCTGCTCTGCGCCCTTCCCACCAGGCTGCGCGGGCACCAGCTTCCTGTGACTCCCATCCCTCCTCCGACAGCCCCTTGATCCCTGGCTCCCTGGGCTCTGTTCAGGAGTCTCGGGGCACTCATGCCCAAGCTGCCTTCCCCAGCTATTGTCCTAACTACCCAACACTGGGAAAATCATCTCCAGCCCTGTGCTGGCTCAGTGGGACCGGGCAGGATCCAAGCGCCCCAGTTAGAGGAACATTCTTCTGTGGGACATTAGGTTCCAGGAGCTAAAGAATCCTGTCAGTAGGATGGCAATGGCTGTCCTTTCCCAAGGCACTGAAATAGTACATCAGTGGATAGACTGTCCAGTTTTAAGACTCTCCTTTCACACCGGGGAGAGATCCCTATGGAATCTGAAGAAGGGAGATGGGGAAATGGATACTCAAAAGCACGAGACACTCTGTAATCCGTATGCGGATGAAAAGGCCAAGTCTTAGATTAGAAGGGATTTTAGTAGTCTCCTCATTCACCCCAAATACCTGAAGCAGAAATCTCTTCTACTGAATTCCTGGATTGCTTCCAGTGGCAGGAAACTCACTACTTCAGTGTGTTTTGGTTTTTTAAAAATTAATTAATTAATTAATTTTGGCTGTGCTGGGTCTTCGTTGCTGCATGCGGGCTTTCTCTAGTTGCAGCGAGCGGGGGGCTACTTTTTGTTGTGGTGCGTGGGCTTCTCATTGCGGTGGCTTCTCTTCTTGCGGAGCACGGGCTCTAAGCGTGCAGGCTCAGTAGTTGTGGCTCGCGGGCTCTAGAGCACAGGCTCGGTAGTTGTGGCGCACAGGCTTAGTTGCTCCATGGCATGTGAGGTCCTCCCGGACCAGGGTTTGAACCCATGTCGCCTGCATTGGCAGGCGGATTCTTAACCACTGCGCCACCAGGGAGGTCCCTAGCGTGTTCTATCTTATACAGAGTTGAAATATGCCTTCTTTAACATCCATCTTCAGAACTGTGTGTTCTGTGAAGGCAGGGTCCCCGTGAGCCTTGCTGCCACCCACAGTGCTGGAGCACAGTCGTGTTCAGTGAACGTGTTGTCAGAATGAATGATGAAGCAATATTGAATGTTTGCCCAAGTGCCACCTTGAAACCCTCCACTCTGGGCTAAACCCCACCAGCTTTTCCCCCATCCCATATGTCAATGTGGGTTCCAGAACATTCTTCATCCTTCCCACCAAGCTGCTGCACCCAGGTGGCAGTGTTTCTTCTCGGCTGTGCGCCCCCTGAAGCGAGCAGCGCAGCAGTGGAGTGGGGCGTGTCTCTCTCCCTGTGCGCTCCGTGCTGTCATCCACACAGCCTGCCCCTGGAAGGCCTTATTTTCAGCATCCTGCCGTGGTCGCTTCTCTCTGAGCCCGAGACTTGCCCTTTGTGCGGCGCGGCTGTGACTTTAACTTTCACAGTTTTAACGAAGAGGAGGGCTGCTTGCTGCACGTGGCAATGGTGCCGCGCCCCGGGAAGGGCCCGTTGTCCCAGCTGGCATCTCAGGGGGCAGGGCTGGGGACCGGCAGCCCCCGTGCCCCTGTGCGGGACCTGTTCGTGAGGCCGACACTCTGGTCGTGGGCAGAGAAGATGCCAGAACGTGACTTTGGCTCAGCAAGCTTTGGGGCTCTCCCCAAGACCCCAAGCTAAGACCCATAATCAGGTGATGAGCAGATCCCTGAGCATGATTGGTGGAGTTCCCCAGGGCCCCAGGGCTTCTGGACGCCGTGGCTCAGCTTTGCCCTCCCACAAAGCCGAACAGGTGCAGGGGAGCTGTCAACACACAGCTAGGGGTTAATATGTGTTTGTTGACTGACTTCTGGATAGCTAGGAAGTGGGGAGCAGTCCTGGGTCAGTGTCCACACCTTGGACACCTGCTCCTTCCCACCCCCCGTCACCCCTGCAGTTTGGGGCCAGGCCAAAAGCACACCTCCTGCCTCAGTTTGTGGATCTGATGAAGGGTGGAGAGGGGAGGCTCTGGCCCTGAGGCTGCCTCGGGTGGACTGGGAGTCCTCCTGGGACCAGGCCTGGCCTGAACTTGCGACGGAAGGCAGGTGAAGGTCTACAAAGCCCCCGCAGGAAGGACTCGGGGGGGGGGCGTGGGTGTGGGCAGGCTCTGCGCAGAGAGGTTTTCCTCCCCTGAAGCGGCTTTATGGCACCCAGAGTGCCCACCCTCTAGAATGACTGTCAGCCAGGTGGGGGGGGGTGCATTCCAGATCACCAGGAGCCTGATGGTGGCCTGGCCAGCGGGAGAGGGCACAAGGGCAGGGGGCAGATCACTTCTCCTGCGGACACCCACTGCAGGACCATTGTGACAGAGAGGAAACCCCGGAAACCAACAAGGTCAGTGCAGGGCAACGGAAAGGAAGATAAAATTCACTGGAGTCTGAGAAAGGAAGGCTTGGGGGAGGCCCCTCACAGGTCAGCAGAATCCAGCTCTGTCCTGGCAGAGGGCAGGGAGGGCACTGGGGCCACGGGCCCAGCTTAGCTCCAGGAAGACAACGGCTCAGCCCATCCCCCCCCCCAGGGCTCGGTGGGGGGCCAGATGTGCCAGGGCGGGCAGGAGCTCACCCAGAAGCCTCCTCTCATCCCCTGCCCGCCACCCAGCTCCCTCTCGATGACACTCTGTTAACCTTTCTCCACTGGGCTGACTCTGAGTGCACGTAGGTGCCTCCCTCCCTGCCTGCTGACAGCGGTATGGATTTGCAGACAGGCTCAGGCCCAGACCTCTGGTCCTGCCCCAGACCTTAGAGAGCCTGAGAGAGCACCCTGGGACCTTTGGTGGTCCATCTAAGGCAGGCTGTGGGGCAGCGGTGGGGAAGAACCCTGGATGGGCTTTCAGGGCCAGGGTTGAGGTCCAGCTCTGACCCTAACTGGCTGGATGACCTCGGGCAGGTCACTCTGCTCATTGGCCCTCAGTCCCTGGATCCCAGCTCTGCTGGCCAATGTGTAATTGCTCTGATTCTCAGAGGGTGGGCCGTATGAGCCTTGCCCAGTTGGGAAGGAGCAGGGTGGAGAAGGTCAAGATCAGAGCCTGGGTGAAAAGCAAATGGGAGCCCAATATGTAAATCAGTCAGTGTTTGTTCCTTCTCTTCTGACAAGACCCAGGGAGACCCAGATGCCTCAAAGAGTGCCTGTGACCTCGCACCTGGGTGTCCTCGCAGAGAGAAGTGGGCTGGGCACCTGGGGTCATGGTGGCATTGACCATCCCTCCGCTGCCTGAGCCCACGGCCCTTGGTCCCCAGCCCAAGCATTCTGCCCCTTCTGCAGTCACTTGTGTCCTGTGTCATCCCACAGACTGTGGGTGGCATCTGTCCTCACCCCAGGCTCAGAGTGGAATGTCTTTCAGTCTGGGGCTGAGTTGGCCCTGTGGGTCTGGGGGCTCATATGGCAACGAACTTTGAGGAGCTGGCTGGTCACCCACTAAAGCAGGGACAGCTGTGGCTTTGGGCAGCGGTCTCCCTGGGGCCAAGCTTGAGACCCTGCCTCAAAGGATGCCAGACAGTCACATGAGACTAGGCAGGGTGACACCGGCACTGCGAGAGGGGGTGGTAATGCTGAGGCTGCTGGCCGGTCAGACAGCTGGGCCCCTGGGGCCGCGGGGAGACCCAGATGTTGTCTGTTTTCAGCTCGTTGCTTCCCGAAGTGGAAGGAGGAGACTGGGTAGGCCACAAGGAGGAACCAAAGGACCCCCCAGGGTTTACTAAGAGTCGGGGAGGGGGAGCAGGGGCCATCTGTTCCCCAGGCTGCAGGCTTCAGGGAGCAGAATGGGCTACAGGGAGGGCCTTCCAAGCACCAGCATGCAGGGCTGCCCCTCAGGCCTCATTCCTCTGGGAATGGGCTCCAGGGGGTCATGGTTGGGGGCTCAGTGGATTGAGGGGCTGAGAGATATGTTCCAAGACCTGCACAGAGCAAGCCCCTGGGAATTTGGGGGAGGGAGGGAACGAGGCCAGGAAAGGAGGGTCAGTCCCCATGGGAAGATGGGGGGGTCCACCCCAGCTCCTTCCCTCCCCCTGCCTAATAGAGGGCACCAAAAACACCTTGGACCTAGACCACCTGGCATTTTCAAAGCCCCTTCAGGCCCTGGACAAGGACAGGGGTCCCCATTTTACTGAAACTCTTATTTTCCACCCAAATCAATGAGCCTTAGTTCTTGAGGGTCTCTGGAGAGCCTCAGAGGAAGGAGGCACAGGGGGTGGGAGGCTGTCTCTGGGCACGGCCCCTCAGGGCTCTCACCTCTGACCGCCCCACAGCCCTGCCCCAGCTAGAAAGCCCCACCCCGCCCCGTCCCCTGTCCCCACCATCCAGGACCCAGAGAAGAGAACCCCTCCCCACAGGGCATCCCACTTCCTGCCTCTGTCACCTGCACACAGCTCAGATCCCTGTCCCCAAGGAGGAAGCTGAGCTGGCCCTGCTACTGCGCTGGCTCCCCTCCCCCACCCCTTTCCGGCACCGACTCCACATTCGATCTCAATGGCTGCTCCTTCCCGTCGACACTGAAGCCACCAAGTCCCTGCATGTTAACGGGAGTGCCCCGAGCCTGCCCCTTGGCTCCCCTTCCTCTCAGCCACCCTCCTGAAAGAGCTGTCCATGCCTGCCTCTACTTCCTTCCGGCCTCCTCATTCCTCAGCCCGAGGCCGCCCTGGGACCACTCAGAGGTTTGTTTCTGCAGGGCCATGTCCCGCTCGCCATGCTCCCCTTCCCTCCTCTCCCCTGCTTCCCCGGCCCTTCCTGTCCTCCTTGCGGCTCCCTCTGTCTGCCTGGGTCTCGGTGCTAGAGTGGCAGAAGGTGTGTGTGTTGGGGGGCGGACGAGGGCACTGGCGTCAGACACCCTGGGTTCCACGAGGCCTCGCTGCCTACCAGCTGGGTGGCCGTGGGCAAGTTCCTTCACCCTCTGCGCCTCGGTCTCCTCAGCTGTAAAGTGGGAGGACAACATGGAGGTGACCTGCCAGGTCCCATGAGGGTCTAGAAGCACTTGCCCTCCCTCGTTTTGGGCGGGCCCCGGACAGCTGCCTCTCCGAGGAGCTGGAGGGAGTACCAGCTCTGAGCTCTGCCTGCAGGACCCCGACGAAGTTTCACTGAGGCTGTCCCAGGGCGGCAGACAGTTTGGCTGACCTGGGAATCACACACACACACACACACACACACACGCACACGCACACGCACACGCACGCACACACACACACACACACACACACACACACCCATGCTTTACTCTCCCTGAGCCACCACGGGAGTGGGTGCAACTGCGGGGCTCAGTCGTTGGCACAGTATACCAGGTTCTCCCCTCTGCTGCCACTGCTCCCAAGGAGGTCAACCCCCCCCAGCCCACCCCACCATGAAGCCAGAGGCCCCTGGAGCATAAGGGGTGGAGGCTGGCAGCAGATGGGTTAACTCCTGGCTGGGGTCCTGGAAGGGATGCTTCTTAGGGCACACAGCTCCGCCCCTCCACTCCTGGCCTTTCCTTGGTCCCCAAAGCAGCTGGCACCCCTCCCCTCTTCACACATCCCCCCTCCACTCCCTCTGACCGAAGGGGGCACAGGGCTCCCCCAGGTGGCCAAATGTGCCAGGGCCTGAATCTGGGGAGTGTGCAAGGACTCGCTTCAGACATCTTG